TTGTCACTCAATTGTGAGGGTTTAGGGTTTAGTCTAGGGTTTAGGGTTTAGGGTTTAGGGTTTAGGATTGCTTGGGTATGTCGAGTGCCTTTTGTTTGGGGGGTTTAGGCTGTTGGCGTCTGTCTGTATGAGGTCTGTTGTTTAGGGTTGCGGGTTCAATGCCTGGTTGTTTAGGGTTTAGGGTTTAGGGTTTTAGTTTGGTTGTTTTATGGTTTTGAGTTGGTTGTCTTGGGTTGGTTGCAGTTCGTTTGGTATGCTGCACGTTGCTTAGGGTTTAGGGTTTAGGGTTTAGGGTTTGGGGTTTGTTATATGTTGCGTATGCAGCATACAAACAGAGTTAATATGCAGTTGATTGATGAGGGTTAATTTTTATTTATTTTTTGGGTTTTGTTTTATTTTATTTTGTTTATTTCTTGGGGTTTGCTTGTTGTTGTTGTTTGCTGTCTAGGATGAAATATCTGTTTTTACTTATTTCGAGTTAATTATATATGTTGTGTATGGTGTACGCTCAGCTGCATATATTGTTTTGTGTTTTTATGTATTTTATTGTTTAGGTTAAGTAATATATTATTTATTTTATAGATTGAATTGTTTGTGGTTTATAAATTTGTGTTGTGTGTGTTTCTGCTGCTGCAGGCGGGGGGCACCGGGTCCGGTATGGGTTCTTATCTATTGGAGCTGCTGGGGGATAGATATGGGTCGAAGCTCGTACAAACATTTTCTGTGTTTCCTGTATTGGGGGACGCGGCGAGTGATGTGGTTGTGCAGCCGTATAATTCTGTATTAACTCTGAAACGGCTCTGTTTACAAGCTGATGCTGTCGTTGTTCTAGATAACCACGCTGTGCATAGAGTTGCAACAGAAAGACTCAGACTACCAAACCCAAGCTTTCAACAAACTAATGCACTCGTATCAAACCCTAAACCCTAAACCCTAAACCCTAAACCCTAAACCCTAAATATATTAGATCACATCAGCCCACGGCTCCTGCGCTGCGGCTTGTTAGCTTCGACTTGTTACGTTTTTCTTCTCGGTTTTCTTGGCTCTGTTTGGGATTATATATGAGTATAATATATTAAATGTATATAATA